TTCGAAGCCCACCATTGAATTTTTCAAGGTAACTCCAGCTATTTTCTAACCACAACTTATCTCTTTTTCTTATTCCTTACTCTAGGTTAAAACATTTTCTCTGGGAATTGAGATACTCTTTTAATATTAATTATACGGGAATACAGCTCACGTTAAAAGTAAGTTGCACCTCAGTTGACCAGCATTCACTTTTTTTTTTCGTAATTAAGTTTGAGCCATCGTCTTAAAGCTTTTTTAGCAACTAGGTCTGAAACAAGTATAGATTTCGGTTATCAGTCGAAAAGGAAGCTTAAGAGCGAGTTGAAATACATCGCTGGTAACAAATTACAGAAACAATAAGGCTTGAAATTAGTACAAAATGATAAGTTGTTCGTGAGATGAAAACAAAAAAACAACAACAACAACAAGAAAACCTATGAAGCGAACTCTTTTTTTACGTTTTCTAGTTTATAGTTATATTTTTAGTCTGGAGTAATCGAGTTGAGCATCTTACGGACTTTCTGCCACCAATTTCCACGCATTGAAATGACAAATTGGTTGTTAAAAATTGGTTCCAATTTGCGCGCGGCCAGGATGACGAAATTACATGAATTACATACCTGTTTATGTGGTAAATTGTGTTCACCGGGGAAAGAGAGATTATCAAGAAAATAGAAACTTATCACGAAGCTGAGACTACAAGTGATGTTAGCTGTATGAATAATGCGTCGCACAGATCAATGCACTGATTTCCGAAGGATGAAGCTGTGTGTGAGAAATGGACGAGTTTCGTTCGTACACATCGAAAAGATTTCATTCCTTCATGCGATCAAATAGGTCAGCTTCGTGCTCCCTCCAACATTAAGACGGCGCAAGGTAAACTTTCCTCTCTCTGTATCAGAAGAAAATGTTCAAAAAGCAGGCTAATTTTGGTTATCGTTCTCCTACGACGCAAGATTGTCCCACATTCTTCTCGACGGATTTCTCGCAGTTGAGGTGGCGAGTTTTTTACGTGTGCTTGGAATATTTTCCTATTCATTGTCTTTCCTTGTAATTCCCTTTCGCTTTTCTTGCTTTATGAACTGAGTCTAACCAAATCTATTAGCGATCGCATATGAATTGCAGATATGCACGTGAAGAGTCTGAGTTTTAACCCTGAACCAAATTCTCGACAGAATTATGGATCACGGCAAAGTTACATTTAGACATGAGAATGAATCATCTGTGCTTCAATTTAAGGTCAACTGTGGTTGGTCAACAGAACGTTGGAAGGTCACCAGCTCGTGTAGAATAAAAATATCGATGAAATGTTTTCGGTAGCCAGAACCCAAATGCTTTTCGCCTCAGCCGGCGACTGAACGGCGATAGATCGTAGACTTGCTGATTGCATAGCAGTATCTGTATTATGAGGGCTATATGGCTATCGGTGTCACTTAAACCGTCTTTAACACTGTACGAACGAAACTGTAGCTTTACAGACGAGGCAAGTGTATAATTTCTATCAAACTTTGGCTATTGTTATAGTTTGAATTTTTTAAGACAATGGACCTATTGTTGAACGTCGCAATGGATGCTTCTATCTCTTAGGGTGAAATTGCACTCTGCTTAAATCGGATGCCATCGGGAAATTGTCGGGGATGGCACTTTTTTCCCTGCAGTAATCTACTTGGGAAAACTTAGACAGACCAACTAGGGGCTAGTCAGTAATTGTTAGGGGAAACAGTTGAGTTGAGTTGGGAAGTGCATTGGGGAATATTCTCGTGGAATTTGTGCACAGCAAAGTTACTTTATTTTCACTATTGTGATATCATTATCTGTCAAACCCATTATCACTGTTATAGCCTGCAGTGCAGGTGCCTTATCAGGGCGAGTTAACGTTAATAAGCGCGCGATCGTTTATTCAACCGGCCATGTTTAATTTGGAGTGAAAATTGACGGTAGGGGGGAAGTGACGGGAAGGGGCGAAATATTCACTCCCCCATCCTCTCCCCTCCTTATTTCTTAACTGTCACTCACCCCCTCAGTGCAAATTTCTTTCTCCCCCCAAGCCTTCTGCTGCCATTAAAATTAAACACGACAGCCATAATTTTCTCCACTGGAGATAATATTGAGCCCTCACACGCCAAAAGAAGCCTCAATCACCTTCAGTAGGCCACTCTATTCTATTTGTTCATAAATGGCAGCTGATTAAATTGCGGGCAAATTCTTAATACTCTCTCTTTGCTCTTTGATTATGGAGTAGTTGTGTATTACAGTGAATTGCGTATTACTTCATTGTAAGCGAACATGGCTCGCAGAAATCCTGTCACGGAAAGCTCGTGGATTCTTTTCATCTCAGAATGTACTTGAGTTCTTGTCATGCATTTTGACGTAAGACTTGGGCTTTCTACACATATTTGTAGTTCACTCTGTATGTAGTCCATTGACGTTAATATGAAGCGGTTCTGTGCTTATGAATGAAGAGTGATAAAGCAGGTTTATTTGATAAAGCAGGTTACTAGGTAGGCAAGACTAAAGTCCTGATGTGGACTAAAGTCCTGATGTGCTTAATAATTAACAGTTCTTTAGGTAAAAAAAAATGCTTGTTGTACCAAGGTAAATCATGCTAAAAACAGTTCCAAGTTTTGTTTAAGGCCGTTACAGCTTTTCTATTCTGCTTCAACGGTACTTAGAATGAGGTAAATTATTTACTTTTTGCGCGACTTTTGTGCTTAGAATGAGATAAATTATAAACAATTATTCAATGAAGTTTTTGTGATATCCGGTATAATCAAGGTCGAGTTAAGTGTTATCAGCCGAAGCCGAAGGCTGATGATGGTGACTACAATGCATACTGATGATGGTGAATACAATGCATAATGATGATGGTGACTACAATGCATAATGATGATGGTGACTACAATGCATAATGATGATGGTGACTACAATGCATAATGATGATGGTGACTACC